AGATGCTGACCCAAGGGGTCTCAGAGATGAGGAAATTCACACAACTGGGCCTTTTCTGTGTCTGCTATTAGCCTTATGCCTCATATCTATTCTGCATAGCAGACTAGCTTCGCTCTCACTCCAGGACCCCATCTGCCAGACATAACCGGTCACTGCCATAACAGCAGCTATCCCTTGGAGACAGTAGGGACAACATGTACCATCTCCTACCACATCTCAGCTGAGACCTGCTGTTGTCACCGCTCAGCAAGGAGCAGCAGTGAGAGGCACAGACCCACAGACCCCCCTTCTTGCCTCACATACTCTTTCTCATCACGTTCAATAAAGTCTCATCACCATTTTGAACTATGACTTGAAGACCTCCTTCGCTGCCAGCTAAGTGGGTCGCATAACATGTTGACAGCTTCATCCACCTGCTGGACTCCCAGAGCAGGCACAAGGGGCAGGGGTGCTAAGTACTGGGGGTTTCCTCTGAAGCTAAGCAAAGGGGCTAGCGTTGAGCAGCAAAGATGATAGAAACATCTACCCTCTTTTTTTTCTTTTTAACCACAGAGAACTTTTATTGTGTCTGTGTTTCCATAATGTTTCTAAACAATATGACCAGAAAGTGAAACAGAATGAAGTTGAATCTAATTTAAAGTGCTTTAAAAACAGGTAATTGGCAAAGCAGACTAACACAATTATGTGCCTGCAGGATGAGGTGCTTTTATTTCTCCTCAGTGGGAAAACAGACTTCCATGCAGTACTGTGCCTCTTCCTCTTGCAAGCAGAACAAGAGAAGTAACAGCATCAGACAACTGTTACTCTGCCTTGGAACAGACACTGTTTCCCAGGCAAGTGAAATTGGTACCGTTCTGCGAATATCAGATAGCAATTAATCTGCTCTCCCTCCACAGCTAGATCCAATGGGGCTTCCATCTGTCCACCCTGAAATGCATGGCAGGCTGGGATCTGCAGGGAGATAAGCCATTCTCGCTGTTCCTCCTCATGCAGACAGCATTGCTGTGAAGACTTATGCAGCAGAGAGAGCCTGAACGGACCATTGTAGCCCAGCCCTGCCCTTCTCTCTCCTGGGAATGGAGGATTTTCTCAGCAGGACTATGCCAAAGGGCTTGGCATGTTCTCCCTTTTGGTTGCATAATGCAACTGTTCAGACACTGGTGCAGGGACATAAGCTGGGCCTGAAGGCAGAAAACTGCCCAGAGCTATGACAACACATGTACTGTGTACAGACTCTCCCATCTGAAATGCATATGACAACAGACCAAAACACAACTACACAAACATAGAAAAAAACTTCCTGACAATTTATATGCTTCCTGAGGATGGCCAAGACCTGAAATTAAAGATTTACAACCTAACAAAGTTACTGCTCCTCCAGAAGAGAGTGTCAGGCTGTCAGTCTCGGGTCCAGGGACAGGTGAATCTCCCTTCAGGTTAGCTATGGGAAAGCTCACCATTCACCAAAGTGATCAGCCTAAGCTGCCTCTGCAGCTGCTGAGGACCAAACAGCAGCACTGTGGGGTTACCACTTCCCCAAGGGTTGGGTAAGTCACCCTTCTAGAGCTGACCTTCTCTCACTTGTCAATGACTGGTTCAGATTCTGGTTCGGATCAGATATCAGATGTTCCATGTCTTGGACTAGAGGAGATAAATCCTTCCTCTTCTTCTGATTGAATCCAAGCTTCTATAGCAAAATTTCATTTCTTTCACTTCTAGTTTTTTACCAGATCAGCATTTTGGGTCTCAATTTGGTAAGCTTTGTAGTAGAATTTTTGCACAGTTTTTTAATTAGCAGTTCATATAAATGGTACTAATTAATTACATGTAATGAATTTACACCGCATGTCACAAATATTAGGCTTATATGTTTCCAGCAGAGCAAACATTCTGAATTTCCCAGGCAGACAGCTGTCTTCTCACTCACAGGTCCACTCATGTGGTCCACTCATGTAGTCCACCCAACCCTGGCAGCAGGCCTAGCTTGCCCTCTGTTACAACACCCCAAAGCAGCAGAAGTTTTCTGTGAACACAATACAAAAACTTCATTTCCAATGATCTAGTGATGCTGTGCTCTAACTGAATTTTCAAAGTCTTTCATAGTATTCAATCCTGCAAACTGTTATTCTATACTCTTAACGAAGCTGAAAGATGAGCTTATAAAGTTTTCTACATTTGCCTATTTTGCTTATAAAAAGAGTGCATAATGGCATATGTTCTTTGAACCAGCTCTTAGCAATTAAAGTTGTTTGTTAATAAAGGTTTGTTGGTTTAATAATACAGACAGAAATGTGTAACTGGGCTATGCAAGCAAACTTAAACACACGCTTCCTTACTTCATTTGTAATACATTGCAGAATATGTTATGAAAAATTCTTTAAATATATGAAGTGACAAAAGAATGCTATTAATATTTAATTAATAACTAGAAGATTCATTATACAGTCCCGTATTTTGTAAATTCATTGATATAAAGTATCATAAAGATACTACATAGGCAAGTTAGCACATCTATTTTGATAGGCTTGCTTACAGGAATGATTTTTGACAATAAAAGCATTTGCTGCAGTGCTGGCTTTGTCAGCGTGGCACTCTTGCAAAATACAATGGAAATCGAGAATGCTGAATTTTAACCTACAATACAAAACCAGACTGAGAAGACAAGTCAGAAGTTTGTAAAGAAAATCCAATTGAGAGAAAAGGCTTTTAGTGAGACATTGCAGTGAAGGCCAACATACATTAACCTAGTGAGGATTTGTTCCTTTGCCCAATAAAAAAAGGGCATACCACAAAAGCACACTGCATAATCAGCTGAAGGAAATGCACTAGTTTGTTTTCTGCTTGATGAATAATTAACATGCATTTAATTAAGAGGCATTCAATAGTGAAGTTTTTAGCCACTTCTATATACGTTTCAGCAATTAAGTGCATGCAAAATAGCTTATTTTGCAGAAAAAGGGTACTAGTTGGAAGCATCAGCTGTGCTTAAATATAATGCCCATTATATGTTACCATTTTGTGACTAAAAAGAACTTTAGTTGCAGAAGAGTACTGCAAAAACTCTGTATCCTCCAGCACTGAATTACATAAAAGTGAGCAGAATCCAACTGAAATTCAATTAAAAATGAGATAAAGCAGAAGCATAGACCTCACTTATATATGGGACTTCCTCCAGCTTCATCCTTTGCATTGTCAAAACTCAAACAGACGGAGCAGAAGGAGTGCATTCAGTTCTGAAACTGAAGCCAGAACAACAAGCAGAAGATCCAGGCAATCTGCTGTGTTCCTCACAAGGAGAATTTACAAATAGTGGGAATGTTTTTAATTGTCCGTCTCTCACAAAAAGAAAGGAAAATAGCTTAATGGCAATGCAAACTTTTAAAGTCAGACACATCTAGGAGTATCACCTTCATAGTCAGTGTACAAACAACAGGTGTAAAATTTAAGGCACCAAAAACTAACATACTGTAAAATCAAGAGGGTAAAAAACCCAAGGAAAATCAAACTGAGAGCAATACTGGGGCAGATCTACTCTGCAAGTAGCCGTAGATCCATTGAGTGATATGGCATGAAATGTTTTCTTGGGAGTTAATGAAGCCCAGTGCCCTTCTTATTCACCCTTTTTCCGTACACCCTCCAAGTTAGGCCCTACAACACATTTACTTGTGGACTCTGAATATTTTGTCCACACGATGTGCGTTGTTGATAGACATACAAATTGCAACTCGTATTCATGCTTTAGTTCATTTAATTCAACAGGCAGCTGTGAACCTCACTGACTTTCTAAAAGTAGATGAGCTAGGCCCTGAAGCTTCATAAAATCAAACAGGTAACTAAAATCTGATTCAATAGTCTATGGCACCTATGACATACCCTCTCTCCCCTGCCAGCAATCAGTGCAATTTCCTTTCTTCTTGCTAGGTATTACTCAGTTATCTCAACGCAACATTGTCTGTGAGGACAGGTTTCTACCATTTGTAAATATGTTGGGTTTTGCAGCTCTCCTCAGAGCAATCCTCCATGTAGTAAGCAGGCTCCAAGGTGCTCCACCACATCAGAAACAGTAGGTACTGACTGAATTCTAAATTTTGATTGCTTTCCAAGGAGTAGGGAAAGAAAAACAATTTCCCCAAACCCTACCCTGGACATCTATTTTGTCACAGCTATGTTGATGTATAATCCATGTGATTCACATATTTACTGTGGCATGGGTCAAAGCATACACAGCTAGTATACACGCAACCTTTTGTGCCTAAGCAAATGCATATTGAAAAGGGAGCAACTATAAAACCTATATATTTAAATGTGAATATTATAATATCATCTTCATAATTATCATTCCCCTTGCTAGTTTCCAAGATGCTCTGGGAGGATCAAAACACAGCTGCTTCCCTACTGAGAATTTTCACACTTATACCAGCCCCAGGTTTGTTTCCGTCCCGGCCAACAGACGGCTCGGAGCTGCTGGTCCCTGGGCATGGCAGAGCTACGACTGTTGACTGTTACTTTCAGAAGAAGGCTAAAAACTGACAGGCTGTTTGAATACAACTAAAGAGGAAAAAGGAAAAGGACTTCACTCAATCCAAATGATGGTCTTGCAAATCTTGACTGTTTTCCTTTAAGCCAACTCCAACTAGCAGGTTTTTTCCTCGTTTCTACAAGAACATCAGCATCTGAAACACCAGTGTAGGCTTAAGGAGAAAATGGATTTTCACCATATGAACTGTATGCATAATTTCCAGATAGGAAATGGCATGTTACTTTATTCACATACATTCACATTCATTTATTCACATAAAAAATAGTTCATATTCTCAGCTATGATTGACATAAGGTATGAAGAGGATTTCTTCTGCAAAAAAAAGCAAACAAATTACAAGGAGTAGGAAGCAATAAGGTTGTTTATTAACACTCTTCTATCTTCACCCTTCTGCCCACCCCATCACCCATGAAATGGCATTCCAAATCCTTGACACAAAATGATAATATATAATATCAACCATACGTTCTCTGCCATTCCCATCTGAACCTCCAGCACTGCAAATGTAGTCATCTTCTTTCCACAGTGGGAAATAGCAAACATTCATACTTGTGCATTACCTTTATTTGGCACTGAAACCCCTGTGAAGTAGAAATTTTGCCATTTAACACAATCCCAGCCTCACAAAATACAGCTTTTTGAAGGATAAAGAAAAGCTTACAGTTTCTGAACATGTTTGAGACACTTTACTAGCATTCTTGCAAAGCTCCTGTTTGAATTGCATGATTATTCAGGTAATGGAGGTTAACTACCCTGAGCAATAGGAGGAAATCAAGCTATGATCTTACATGCACAAATATGCATAGATTGAGGTTCTTTATTTAGTTTCCTGAAAGATTATTGGCAATGCCTATAGTAACGCCTATTTTGTTAATTTTAGCTTTTATTACAGCCATCTCTAGGAAACAGCAACATTCCCAGAGATACTCCTTGAGCAGAAAAGAAACTACTTTCATGGAATACATTTCTTGTTGCAAATTATTTACCCGAGGCAGAAATGTTTATCAGCCGCTCTGATTTGGTGGCATAGCACAAGCTCCTGCAGCACGGTGAGTTCAACAATTAAGTGGTTGCCCTGTTTGATGTTTAAAAAACACATTATACAAGTGGTGCTGAATGCAAAAATAGTTGTCAGCCATTTACATCAAGGGACAACATCATGCTCCTTTTACTTGTGCAAGTTCTGGCACTGAATGAAGCCAGACTGATTTATTTTTTTCTTTTTCCCATGGTTTGGGTCAGAGATCAGAAAAAAGAAGTGTAATGAAAAATCTGTCAAAGTAAAATTCAGTTTTGTGTTACAAAGATCTCATAGGCTATGAAGAGCTGCAGGAAACTCCAAAGATTATCGGATAGCTATGTTGGACTCAGAAGGTGAATTCCCTGTTACAGCAAGGCATGGGGAGGAGAAGCAATACCCAGTTCCTCAAGGTTCAGTAAAAACGGAGCAATTGTAATTAATCTAAAGTGACTCGTGATGCAGTATCACTGTAGCACAGGATAGATGACGGGGAGGTGTTCCCAGGAGAAAGGAGTAATTTGGTGCCTCATGGAAAGCGCTCAGAGACATGAGAGAGAAGTCTTGACTTAGCAAATGTCACAGTCAGTATAGAATGACTAGAGATGAGCCAACGTCCTGCTGGTGACACCAAGGACAGGATTCCCTCTTGCCTGTTTACAACTGCTAGACACAAAGCGCTTTCCCTGATCCACCAGTTAGGGAAAATTCCTCCCCTACCAGCACTATGCCCTTCCTCTTTGTTTTATAGATTTTAAAATAAACATGTCAAATGAGGAAAGAAGTGTTCACGTGTTTCCAGAGCTTGCAAGAAAGCTTGCAAGGGTCTATGCCAGCTAGGTCATTTCTGTATACATGCTCATGGCACAGAGGATTTGCGTAGGTGCATCCCCAAGGGTGAAACTTCTCAAAGGGATGCAGAGAACAAAGATGGGGTGGAGGGAGCGGGCAGGGGCAGGGAAGCCCCTGGACACCTGAGCTGCATGCAACAGGCAGGCCACGTACAGATGGCCCAAAGGGAAAGCCATCAAAGCACTGTGAGGGACATCAGTGCTGATGGTGCAGACTGCACAGCTCAGCACCGTGTGGAAGCAGCCACAGGTCAAAATAGCAGTTAGGGGTTATTGCCCTGCACTGTGAGAAACCGGGATCAGGTTCTGGTGGGGTTTTGGTGATCTGTTCCTCCCAAACGTTTTTAATATAAATGTAATCTTTTGTAGAGGTAGATGTGTGATGCTGCATGGAACTTAATTAAGGCTGGCCAGAATCCAGACCATCTTGGTCTGTGGTGGTTTCTACTTCTGTCAGCTGAGGAACATTGGATGGGTTCAATACTTCCACTGGGAGCACTGACACACATGCCAGGTTGTTAAAGGAGGTGCTGTTTGCAAAAAGGCTCTTCCCCGTTGAATCCAAAATGGATTGTGAAAAGACTGAGTAGTGTGGGGAGTCACTGAGCCACAGGGTGTTTCCCCTTTCAGAAGAAATGCTATATATTATTTCCAGTCCTCATAGGCTTGCTGGCTGTTTAACCAGGTGAACGAGAGTGCCCTGATCCTGCCTTTGAAAAGCTTTGAAATTAAATTATGGTATGATATGATGGTGTGATAGCAAGACAGAATGGGTTTAGAGAGGAAGGGCAGGGAGAAATCAACAAGATGCTCTGTTGTGCCTGTTACATATATATGGATATAGTTGTGTGTGTATATTTATGTGTATGATCTACATGCAATTTATACAGAGAAAGACTTTATTTAGCTGTTCAACTTTCACTTCCTTTGCCAGAAGCTGTCTGTGCATTTGTAAGTGTGATTTTCCACTGTTTTCTGGTGGCAGGGCCTTATGACACATGAAGAAGTGTCTTTTCTAGCCCAGAGGGCAATGTTCCTGCAGCTGAAGTCAGTGTCCTTAAATTTGGGGCCTGCTCACAGTGATCTCTCACCCAGAAGTTTTAGGTTACGGATGGTAACTAATAGGTTTAGGTTACTCTCATGTGCTTGTGGCAGCTGTCACAATCAGCTGCAAAAGTACCTATCTTTCAGCAATATCAGAAGCAATTTAAGTAATATCATCAAAACCAATTAAAACAAATAACTAAGCATAGAGAAGAATGCACTCAGCCTAAGATGCTCTAGCAGACCAAAGCATCTGTGCACCCAGCTGTTTGATGTACGAAGCAGATGTGACAAGATGTTTGGATCTGGTGTTGTTTATGTATCGGGAGATTTGGGCTGGATGGATTCACAGGTTATTACAAATGTCCTCATTTATTCTTGCTTGTTCCTATGCTGTAGCCTAGTCCAGGGGGCAGACACACAGCATACAGAGAACCCAGGGAGTAAAAGCTCTGTGTGAAGCTTCTAATTCTGAAAACAACTTTTTTAGCTCTTATTGAGAGCATGTTCAGTAATACGGAATGCAACAAAACCATGCTCGGGGTCCTTAGGTACTTCTTAATCACCAAAATTCCCACAAGCTTAAATGTAAAGTGTTCTGACTCATGGGATTCTACAGTATAGATCTCCTAAGATTTGGGATTTCCATTCAAGCACTGCTTTTGGAGTCAAGTGCTTTGTGAGGATCTCATTCTGCCCTCAACCTCTTAGCCCCAGAGTTTCTATCTCTTCTGGTTGCAGAGAAAAGCCTGAAAACATAACCCATATTAAGTCTCAAACACCAGACGGCAAACAGAAATACACAACATATATTTATTTATTTATTTTAATTTCCTGATTTTTAACACTTAGAGTTGGCAAAATTGCAACTGGAATTTGGTTTGAATGAAGCCTGAGGGATGAATGCCAACTTGTTCTCTCTCTCTCTTTCTGAAGAAAAGCGATGCCTGGAAATGCCTGGAAACGAAGGGCCTGATTCACAACTTCCTTCCAGGCAGCTCATGCTGCCTTACCCTGCCTGTAAGCCTAGATCCAAATATTCATGCATATTCCAAAGCAGGTCCAAATACAAACAGTACAAATAGTCTCTTTAGAACGTACTAACCTCAGGTCCAAACCACTTGCATTTGTCATATGTGAAATCTGGATCTATTTTAAATAAGGTCATCTCTGCTGCAAATACATCTTTAAAATCTGTGAAACAGAATACACAGAATAATCTGAGGATGTATTTTTAAAGAGAATCTTTCTCTCCTGTTTTGTCTTCTCCAAGTGTTGCCACGAGTAATATGGTGAAGCAACAACTGAAAAAGCACTGCTTATTCTCTCTGAGTAAAATGGCTTCTGAATTCACATGCCTGGATGGCAGTGCTTCCTCAAAGCCACCAAACACTGGATTTCAATGGAAAAAGAAAAGCTAGTTCTGCTATTTTCAAAAATTCCAGGAATTTTAGTGAATGTAGGTATCTACCAAAAATGTCCAGTCTGTTGGTGTGTCTACCAATAACTTAATCCCCTCTTTTTGGATCAAAGCAGGTTAATTTGTTAATTTCTTTTTAGTTAATAAACCACCCCCAGTTCTCTATGTATCCAGTTATACCAGAGCACCAAGGGTGAATTGTGTGTGTGCATATTTCTGCCCTGCCAGCAGTTCTCCTTGCCCTGTTCAAGCAAAGCAGGCTTACAGTTTGCAAAAGACAGTTAGCATGTCTCTGCTTTCAGGTCTGTGGCTCAGTTTTGGGGCTCTGGGCCCAAAGTGCTCTGGTTAGCCATAATGGACATTTTGAAAAATACAAACTATTGTATAAATCATTTCATATTAACACTTAACATGAAACACTTTTTACAACAAAGGATGTTATTGACAAGGTGACAAGTTTGATCAGTCACGTGAAACAGAATTGGTGCTGCAGGTTCTGAGCATCATCTCCTGACAACTCTTGCATTAAGCCACAATGTACTCATATATAGATTTAGTGCATTCTAGAATCAATGGGAAAGGCAGTACAACATTACTCTGAAGACTCAAGTTTGATTGCAGTGATCCATAAGCATTGTCCTGGTGCTTCTCTCCATAATGGATAACAGCAATATCTGGGACTGCTTGTCATTCTTCAGAAAGGTTCTTCATCATAGCAGCAAGTAAATCGTTCCCGTTTATCCTGATCTGGTGCATTTCCCAGTGCAATCCCCTCCACCACTCCTGCAGCATGCTCTCACGCACAAGCAGTGCATGAGGAGGAACAGAAGCTGGCCACTGCTGTTCTCAGAACTGTCTCATGCACTGACTTTCACTGGCAAGCACAAGGTTTCTGCAGCAGAAGCCCATTACCTCAGCTGGTGCTGTCCTGCGCCACTGAAATTCTTTCCATCAAAGGGAAACCTCTGCGAAGCAGCAGAGCGCAAGGGCTGGCTGTCAGTGTAAACTTTTGTAATACTTAACCCATTTCCTCCCTGCTCTCTGAAGCAGCTCTTCAGATGAAAAGGGTTCTCTTTTCTTTTGATAAGTCTCCTTCTGCCACAGTCTAGTGCAAATATTTGATACTGTAGAAAGTCAGATATATTGGCAGTAGGCTGCATAGGCTTTCTTATGAGTCTGTTTTATCTTTTAGTAACCTGCCTGCTATTTGTGTCTACAGAATAAGTCTAGTACTACTATGAATTACAAAGCTTGCTGCTGCTTGTTGGGGAGGCAGAGAAAATTGTATCAGACAGAGCAGTGAGAGGATGTTATCAAAGCTTCCCGAACCCTGCTTCTCCACACCCACCCTTCCCCTTGTGGAGAGCTGACAGGAAAAGAACCATCCATATATGCATAAAAATACCATATCTTTGCATACACTATAAAAAACTTGTCTGGACACTGCGGTAAAAACATTGGAGAAAACAGCTTTAAGTAGATAGCTGAAAACTATGCCAGTGCCAGCTGAAGCAGTTATTGCTACTTGTAACTTGTGACAGCAAACAAGTGGCTCTGTTAATGAGCCATGATCTTGATGTACTCATTTCTTACTGGTATGAGGTAACTGACAGATTTACCTTGAAAACATAGATGATCTCACCTCTGCTCCTGATATGTACAGCTATTAGTGGCATGTCATTTGTGAGCCATGTGCATATCACATGCCTGTGGCATGACAAAGGGAAGATGGGTTCTGCCTCCAGAAGGATGTTTATGTATGTTCTTTCTTGTACAGTTTTAGCTGTCATGTGGCCGTGGATATCAGAGACATTACACACAGGACAGAATGCTTGCAATTACACTCCTGTTAAAGAAGTTATAACAAAAGAATTAAGCTGTGATTCCTCAGCTCAGTGACTAGCATCGGTAGTTAGATTTGCTGCTGTGCCCCACCAGTGTGAACCATGCCCAAAGCAAGAGACTCACACAGACACTACACACTGCTGGCCTGGGGTGATCCTTAGGACCTAAAAGCAGTTTATTCTCTAATGGTAAATCTAAGGCCTGGCAGGAACTGAGGGGCACTGGAAAAGACAGTTTTTTTGCAAGACAGTTTATAATCAAAGGTACATAGTTATGGTTGGGGTTTTGTTTTAGTTTGGTTTCTTTCTCAAACATGGTTCCCTTCTTGCTTTTAGTTTCAGTTTGTAGTTTGTAAACCATCAAAAACCAGCATTAGCTAGTGGTAGAAACATGATTTCACATGGAAAGAATCCCAAATAGGGTAATATCAGGATGACATGTTTTTTAAATAAAAGCATAAAAAGACAGGTGTGTAGATTCATTCATGTTTAGTCACCTAACTAAATGCATTAACCTATAAAGCATTAAACGTGTGGTTCTCACTGACTCTCAACACCTGCCCATGACTTAGTGGGGATTTTGCTGCCTGGCTTTGGAAGTACATATGTGAAAACAGCAGTTTTGATTTTAAAACCCTGACCTGGCTTTACAGGCAGCCAAAAGGTGGTTGTTTGGGGTTTGTTCGGTTTTTTTAAATGGAAACACTCACTGTAGTGGAGAAAGAAACAACACTGGAAAAATTAGTAACAGGGAAATGTGAGGCGTTTTCTACTGTTGTGATCAGCATATATAAATCTGGACTTGTGTGCAGCTTATTCAGTCTCTGTCATGCTGAAATCAGTCTGAAAATGGAATTAGCGTTAAGAGTAGGAAGTACAGAGAGAGAGATTAAAAAAAAAACTTGTAAGCTTTCCAAAACATTTCAAACTTAAACAAGATCCGCTTCTAGGAGGTTCCATTTCGGCTTTCTTCCTTAACTTAGCTTCCTGCTAAAACTTTCCTCTAAAGCATGCTGACAACAAAGCATTAAAAAGGATTTCTCCCTAACTTCAGTCCTTTCCAGGAATTTGTTCTTCAGTGAAAATAAAGATGCTGTTATGTGTGCAGAGGATAACCTATTCCCTACAAAAGCATGTGGGAATCTCAAAATCCTGGGCATATGATGATGGCAATATCAAATGAGTCAGGCGTACTGAGTCAGCAAGCTGAATGAAGTGTTTCTAACCTCTGTAGAGGGCAATTCCCTTAGGTCAAGTTGAGGTCACTAGAGCAATGCAGGGAAACCCATACAGAAAACACTACGTAGGAGCCCCAGCTTACAGTCTTGATTTATGGCTGCAGCACAGTATTTTCCAGCATTTTTCAGGGGACTTTTACACTGAAAATACAAACTAATGATCTGAAAATAACATCTGTTGCATTCAAGTTCCAAAGCATGCACCTATTTCCAGGAAGGATCAGAGAAGCACTGAATCGTCTATTTCAACTATATGGTAGCAGTACTGGAATCATAATAATTTCCTGATCCCTGCATCCATCATCACACAACATGAACTGATGCCTCCTCTAGGAGTTACCACAATAATTAACATACCTTTCAAGCATCTTCACCTTTAGCAAATGCAGTGGGACTAAGAAGACAGCCTTGCAACTAGACCAGGAGAAAAAAGATGCCAGCCATTACAAAGTAGGTTTGCCAAATCTACCACTGAGTTGCTTTTTCTGTGCTTATCTGTGTATCTGCTGTTGCACAAAAGAGCTTTCAAGACCTGGCCTAAAGAAGCATTCTCATTCTTTCTTCCCCCCCCAAAAAAGAGACCTGGCATAGGCACAGTAAATAAAAATAACAAGCATATGATGCCCAAGATGCATGTGAACATTAAGTGACGTTGGCAGCCCCCGCAAATAGAACTCCGGTTATAAATAGCCTTTGTCTAAATGTGGAAAGTGAGTAAATATAGTGGCAGTTTCAGCTTACTATAGAGGCTTACAGGCTCCAAGTAACAGAGCTTATTATAGAGCATGTGCGTCAGCAAAGGGGAGAAAAGGGAGAAAAGAAAAACGACACATTCTGCAATTAGTATCTACAATGAGACATAAATTAACTTTTCCCTTAGTTATTTTTCTTCTTGTTTAAAAAATGGACAAAAGAAGGAGGGTTTGTGAATTGTTACGGTGCTAAAGAGAAAAAGAGCTGGATTGAGGAGAAAGCTGAAACTAGCACCGAAGAGCAGCACAGGGAGCTTTCTGCACAAAGGCTGGTTGCAGAGAAAATGAGATGTACAAAGAGACGACAGGACAGATTTTGATCTCAGTCTCTCTGAGACAAATAAGGAGTACAGTAACTTGACTGGAGGGAGCTCTCCTGGATCTGCATGTGCTTATTGGACTGAGCATAAGCCAGTGAGCAAACTTTTGACTCGACTGAAAAGAAAGAAACATCAATGCTTTCCCCTGCCTCTATTCATTCCCTGCTTTCAAGGAAATCTCCTGAGTTTCCAGTGATTGCAGAACTTGCTTCATTGAATCAGTATATCTGCTTTACCTTGTGTTTCAGTTCATAAGCAATTTGCAGTGTAGCTGAGGCTGGGAAAGCCCCAAAACAAAATCTGTGGGATAACTTACACCCGAGGAAGAGTACCTGCTGCAGAACGCAGGTATACATTAATTATCATCCTCAGGATGTTATCTCCAAGTGTGATGCTGCAGGCAGGGGGTACTTCAGCATTTTTAACATTCTCTTCTGGCTGAATTGACAAAAATAGGAAAACAGTCTCTGTTTTGTGTCTCTGATCTTCTCAAATCGGAGGTGAAGGTGGGAAAAATCCTTCTTATTTCTTTCAATGCTCAACTGAATTAAAGCAAAACTCACCTAAACACTAAGTCCTCCCCTCATACATGCACAAAAGGAAAATTTTCACAGGGTTCAGTGTGCTTCTGCTTGTGCACAGTATTTCTTGTCTTCTTCCTTTGCAGTAAAGATAATGGGATGATAGTCATAACAGAAAAACAAATATCTGTGAGTGTTAGATGAGATGCAGCATGATATGAAAGTTGTGGCCAGCTAAGAGTTGTCAGCAAAGTTGCCTTATTCAAATGGCATGGTAAATAAATGCTATAAATTCCTAAGTAGAGCCTAAATTAGCTTTTGGCATAGTGCATCACTGTAACAAGTTAATTTTGCAGCTCCAAGGAATAGCCTTATATGGTTCACTTAAGTAATCATGCTAAATGAATGTTTAAGTGAGAACCGTTTGCCAAATGCAAAGCAAGAACCATATATAACCTCTTACACAACTACATAACACAGCAATGCTGGCTGGTTTCCAAAATTCTGGTTTATGTACA